GTAGGTATAGGAACCGGAGCCTTCCCACCTCAGCACGAGCCCTGCCTCACTGTCCCCCTCCTCCGTCCGCACAGTTCGACCCGGTGGCCTACAGGATCGAGCCCATGATTGTCCCTGACGTGGAGTTCGAGCCCATGCTGCTGCCCCACCACAAGGGCAGGAAGAGGATGGAGGATGCCCCTGGGTAAGGGCGAGCGCAGCCCCTCTCTCCCTGCCCACACAGACCTCTCTCTCCTGCGGCCCCCAGCCCATGCAGCCCCCTCGTGCCTTGCAGAGCTGAAGGAGGGGCTGACCCGCATGAGCCTGGACCTGAAGAACAACCTGCTGGGCTCGCTGCGGGTGGCCTGGCAGTCCTTCACGAGCGCCCCGCTGCTCGCCCTGGAGCCTTTTATGCCGAGGCAGAGACCAGCGCGGAGAAGCAGCCAGGTTGGTGCTGCGGGGCTGGGAGGTGATGGGGATGCAGCACCGTGTCCTGCCCACGGAGGCGAGGGGCCCATCCTGGCGCTGAACCCTCTTCGGTGCTCAGCAAAGGGATCGCCTTCGAGCTGCGGATGTGCTTGGCTCCCCAAATGCTGTGGTTTTCCTGTTATTGCCCGCTGAAGGGGGAGAAGAGGCAGCCTGCCTCATCACTGAGGGTCTCCTGGGGGTCTCAGCACACCCACATCACACTGTAACCCAGCCAAGCCTGTCCCCATCTCTGGGTCTCTTGCAGTGCTGTTTGCCAAGAGCCCAGGGGGAGAAAGGACCCTGAGCTGCTTCTCCTGTGCCAGAGCCCGCAGCAGGGCGCCGGGAGGGCACGGTGATGCTGTGGTGTTTTCCCAGCTCGGGTGCCCCTTGGCCGAACCACGCTGCTCTTGGTTCCTTCAGACGCGAAGCCAGAGGAGACCCCCGCAGCAGCCAAGGAAGAGCCGCCCCCCATCAACGTGGGGAGGCTGAACGGGGGCAATCGCATCGACTACGTGCTGCAGGAGAAGCCCATAGAGAGCTTTAACGAGTACTTGTTCGCGCTGCAAGGGCACCTCTGCTACTGGTAAGCCTCTGCTGGCGCCGCATCTGCCCGTAGCATCACAGGCAGGGATGTTTCCCCTCTCACTCCCGTGTCCCCCGCTGCAGGGAGTCGGAGGACACCGTCCTGCTGGTTCTGAAGGAGATCTACCAGACACAGGGCATCGCCCTGGACCAGCCCTTGCTGGGAAGCCAGTGACCAGCCTGTGCTGCTGGATGTGAGTCACCTTCCCCCTTCCTCAGACACCTCAGAGGACATCTGCTCCGTGTGAGGGAGTAACATCCCTTATTTACAGCGCTGTCTAAGGCAGGAGTTTGTGTCAGGTTTTATCTTTGGCCTGTCAGCGTATTTGGCTTCTTCCCCATGCATTATCAGCCCCGAGGAGGGCCAATAACCCGCTGATGGTACCAGGTATGGGAGGGCTGGGTGGCTTTGGAGCTGCTCCCACGTTCTCCTTTTGCCTTCCTAGATCCGATGCACCGGGTGCTCACCAGGAAAGTCCGGATTCCTCCTCTGCCTTCGTCTCTCCTCTGTGCTGTCCCCCGCATGCTGCTCCCCGAGTACTTGCTGCTACCTGCAGACAAGGACCATGTTCCTCCGTTTTGGGTAGGGGCGGGGGAAAACACATCAAGGGAAAACCCTTCTGCTCGAACACTCGCACCACTCGCCCTGTGACTCCCTGTGACAACGTGGACGTTGACCCTGCACCCTGTAAGCCACGTGGCACCGAAGCGGACGAGCTGTCGGGGTAGGAACCCACACCGAGGGCCTGACTGCTCCCGGCTCAGCAATGAAAGTCATGGCTTGCGATGCTGAGGAATAAAAGCCTTAAACACAGCGTGGAGAGAGCTACAGCCGCTCGTGGAGCGGAGGAGACCGCCGACATCCCTTGCTGTGATGGAGTACCAGGCGCAGGCGTCTGCCGC